GTCAAACCATCAAAAAATTAATAATTAAGAAATTTAATATTAAAAGAAATAATCTAAAATATGACATTGAAAAAATACCTGGAAAAGTTGCATTTACAACTGATATATGGAGCAGTATGACAAATCAATCTTATTTAGGCATCACTTTGCATTTTATAGATGATGATTGGAACCTGAAAAACTTAATGCTTGATATGATTCATTTGGAGGATCATCATACTGGAAATATAATTGCAGATAAGGTTTTTAATTTACTTGATGAGTTTAATTTAACCACTAAGGTTTTAGTATTCACCACTGATAATGCTGCTAATATGTTGAAATTTGGTGAAGTATTGATTGATCTTTTGAGGGTTTGTTCCAATCATCATATTATGCACATAAGATGTGCTGCCCATATCTTAAACATAGCTGTGCAGCATGGTCTAGAGATAGTTAGTGATGAAGTTGTTAAATTGAGGAATTATGTTAAAAAAATAAGAAGTTCAACATTATTGAATGATGAATTACAAAGAATTTTTGAAAATAAGAATGAACAATTCTTATCACCTACCTTAGATTGTCCTACAAGATGGAACTCGACTTATTTAATGATAAATAGGCAAAGAAAAACCATGGAATACCATCAACGTCTTGTTAGATCTACTTCAAGTGGTGCAATATTAGATTACCCAACTAATGATAATTGGAATAGGCTAAGTGACTTATGTGAAGTTTTAAAACCTATATACATTGCTACAACATTGTTATCAAATACAAAATATCCATCACTTGGAGATGTACATCTTACATTTTTGGGGATTTTAAAAAATTTAAATGATATTATTGATAATGATCAGAATGAGCAATATTTAATAGCAGATTCTGTTAGGCATAAGTTGCAAGTCTATTGGAATTTAATTGAAAAAAATACAAGAATCTGTTCAATATTAGATCCCCATTCGAAATTAAGACTTTTTTTTAATAATGCTGATATCAGTGAAGTTAACAATGATGTTAAAGAATTAATAACTGAGCACATTTCAAATGCAAACAATAATAGCCATAATAATAATCAATACCCTATTTCACATCATGTATATTTTTATAATCTTTTCACTACTAATAGTGATAATTCTAATACTAATGATCAAAATAACATAGATGAATACAATAATTATCTCAATTTGCCTTCAATTTCAGATAACATTAAAG